CACGAACAGCTAATTATTCCGGCCAACTTGTGCAAGATGATAATTTCAGCGATAACAACGTTACACTTAGCGTCGTTATTCCTCAGCCATTTGATTGAGGTCAAAAGATCGAAGCAGCCTCTCGGAATTCTTTTTACGATAAAAAAAAAAAGAAGTTTACTCTCGAGCGAATTAAAATTTCCGTTTTGCTGCGTGAAATCTTTCTACGAGGAGAGATCGTTCCATTGCAACTTGTTGAATGAACGTCTCACTATAATATGTATTGATGAGTTTTCTGAAGGCAAGAGGATTTATGAATTTATGACAGATACAACAAATTTACAACTGATGCCAAATGTATTTTTCAATATGGTCAATTGTGTTGTTATGAAATCACGTCAAGAAAGAAATTTATTTATAATACTATTAAATAGAAATTTATAGCGTTTCATTTGTCAAATATTGTTTCGGGGATTTTACATATTTTGAACAAAATAATCATTATCAATTGGTGTTGCGAAAGTATCTTATGGTTTTTTCTTCCAGAAAGTTCCCCAATTACAAAAAAAAAAAAACTGATAACAGAGACGGGCTACGTGTGGCCATCGAACACAATTATTATAATTATAAACTCCGGCTAATTATAGACTGTCTAACGTGTGTCTCGCCAGTTTGTCACCATGGAATTCTAAAGAGCATTCTCAAATTATACACGTGCTGGCTGTATATTTCTGACGATCTTCGAAAACACTCGCTTTTCATTTTATCGGACGTGGGAACGACAGGTTACGTCACTCTTATTCTCGGAGCATCCATTTCCTCATCCATTACGTTTTCGATCCGGTATAATTTGTTATTCTTACAGAATCGTTATATCAATAACGAAAGATCAGTTGGATTATTCGAAGTATTTTTCTTTATTTCTTTCCTCATTGGCAGAGAACTAATATTCATCAACGTTATTTACGACGTAATGTGGCTCAACGTGGAGCAGTCTAGCATATGTGACACGTTGAGATAACACCCTGATAATTAATAACAGTGAACGTGGCAATGTTAATAGAACGGTCAACATGTGAACTCTTCGATTCGACGTATCTGTATCGGTAAATTTATAAAGCTACCTTCTTTAACTAACGTTTTTCATTCTACGATTTTTGATTGAAACGGTGAATTAAAATAGATTAAAATAGATTAATTCTGTGGCAGACATGTGATCGATAAGGAATTGAGATAAATTTTAATATAGAAAGAAAGATATACGAATTTACTTTAGATTCTCACTCGCTTGTTTATTTGCAGATTGAAATCTGTACCGCGTTTCGCACGAGTCACTCGCCTTCAGCAGAATCGGCAAGGATATCAGCTTGTAACCATTACAAATCATAGTTATTTTTATGCGATGATGCATAATTATTTACGCAAAACTCGGTGGATTCTTTCAAAATTTAGAGACAAATTTAACCGGAACCTGTTCTTCTTTTTTTACGTGGGCTCCATTTATAATTAGATACTTTCTCTTTAGATTTCCAAATGTCAGAAAGAAGTATTATTCGGAACTTGATTCGAATAAAATGAAGAGGTCTACTAATATATTCTTATCGTAATATGACGTAAGATTTCCGGGAACCTTATCAATGAAAATAGAACGTTTATCTATTCGACCATACTGTTCAACATAATTAGAGGATCTCTCATACGAACCATAATATCGAATGAGTAATAAAAAACTAAATATTAATACTTGCTAGCGTAAATATTCCGAATGATCCTTCATTCTTGATGTTCGACTCTAAAATTTCCTACTTCACCAGTTTATCCAGCATTCGACTACGAAATTTTTTCAAAAGTCAAACGTTTAATCCCGCAGTTGTTTCCATCGGTTCAAGTGTCACGCGGGATAATTGAAGTTGGTGAAAAACAGCACTTACATCCTGCGAAAACAAGCGGTAGCAGAACCCTGAGGAGGGCCACGTTCAGCCAATACTTGGACATGCCTGGGATCTGCTCGGACGGCCTTTCACCCTGAAACACAAAGTGAAACGAAAACAGCTCGCTCGTGAAACAATCCACCGTGTACGCTGTCAACATCTCGAGATTCTTTAGCGGCAATGTCAGCTCGACTAGAATCGATACGACACGCTGCCGCAGTCGGGTACCTTTAACCTCGTTTTGCCATGAGACCCGGCGCGCCACCCGTTTCCTCCGTGTTTACAACCGGCTTGACCCCCTCGAAATTCACGCTCTACGGAATTTTACTACTTGAACTGTAACATTGTAACGTGACTTTCGCGCGGATTTTTCGCGAAGTCGTGCGCCACGTTTCTTTTGACATTTCCCGACTCGCGACTCGCCAATTGACAGAACGAGGTCATCATCGGCTCGGTCGAAGGGGCATTTTTCCACTCGTAAGACATGCATTCTATTGAATTAAGGTGGCTACGGCTAGCCTTTTAACTCGGTTAGTCTGTTTAATAGTTGTCTTTCGAGAATTGAAAATCTCAGTCTCAGTTTCCTACTTTAAAGAGTTAAGAAATTGTAACATAAGTATCGAAGAATAATGATCAGCGGATTATCTGGGGACGATTTAAATCTGCTATACTTTGGATATCACTCACCTTTGCAGGTCGTCGTACTCATCTACTAAAAAGTTAAATTTGAAAGGAAAGTCTTCGTTCAATCTACGTTTGTGTTATCAACGTCATTTTCGTGAAAATAGCAACCGACGTGTAAGCAATGTATCTAGTGCGCGGTGTGTACACACCATGTGCACCCATATCCTGCTTCCGTCTAAGATTTCACGTGGTCTCAGATTTTGGTGTCTCGACCAAAGACCTGGATGGTCGTTACGCTTTTTGGACGATCATCAAACCATGTCTCTGGTGGAGTTCCGCTCAATTTAATGTCTCATGTATCGTCCTAAGCGATAAAACGCAGAGAGAGAGAGAGAGAGAGAGAAAGAGAATATTCCCTTAAAAATAATCCTTCGAACTTTCGTGCATCTACGTCGTTAAACATAGAATACCGGCTGTGTTTATGAAAATGCAAGTTGCATGTTCATTCGCGATCGATGAAAAGTCTTGGCAGAAGCTTAAAATTACCAAGCGGAATTCCAATTCCGAGAACTGGAGGAGCCTTCAACTCTTGTTCGTTTTTTTTTTTTTTTTTTTTTTTTTTCTTTTCGATAAAAACAGGCACACCCAGTCTAATTATCAAGCGATTATATGGGGCTGGATTATGCTCGTCCCGTAAAAGGTGTGTCCATACGTTTTCAGAATCAGCTTCGCTATCGGCCAACAACTGATAACAAGATTACAGTAGGAAACACTGTTGCGTAATTACAGAAACACATTAGTAGAAATGTTTCCAAATATTTTCTTCGAACACGAAAGCGAAAGAATCGATCTAACTTCTGCACACTACTGTTGAACGTATTTTCCAACCGCGTAGAAGTTGGAATTATAGAATTTTCATTTGTTCCGTTTCTTAAGCTTTTCCAACAAGTTTCTCGATTATCCTATTTAACGAGATTCCTTTAACGACGTGATTCTTTCTTAAGAACGCGTTTGTTGGGAAACTTTCCAGCCGAAGAGCAAAATGAAATGAAAAAAAAAACGGAATCTACGATAATTAGCGGACGTTCTTCATTGTCAATTTAGCAATCTTAAATTCTGAAGCGATACTACTCGATACTGCTGACATTGGACATCTCGATTGCTCACTCCGACTATAGATCGTCTCTCGATGTCATCAAGCGCTTCAACAGATTTTCAGATGCATGAAATTCCGTCGTTTGACCCAGATAGAACGCGATAGTTAAAAACATCTTCTGCCGTCGTAGAATCATAAAGACCATCTATGCATCGCATAATTACAGTGAAATGAGATGAAATGAAAGCAGCGTTCTCATGTTCACGGTCATCTGTATCAAAATTTGTCACCGACACGTTGCACGATTGACATACAATCGCATAAATTTTTCTATGACCGAGGTAGTATCGTACTACGAATCGTTTATGTAACAGAGGAATAATTATTATCTAATCGCGCGTCGTAATCTGCCCGTAAAATAAATACCGAGACGATAGATGGAAGATTTACTTTTGCTCTGTAATAAATTAGGAACTTTGCATTTACTTCGAGAAAAAATCGAATTCTTCCACGGTGAATTACCTCGCTTTTTCGTGCATCGTTGCTCTTGATAAAAATTTAACTAAATTCTACATTATGCATATATCATTATTTTCTTTTTTTTTTTTTTTTTTTTTTTTTTCTTTATTGGAGATTATCTTTTTATCGCGCGATTTCAAGAAAAGGCGGAACAACGTCCTCGTTTTTATAAATAACGGAGTTTCAACAGTGCATTCGATCGATGATACACCTACGTGAATGTTTGGACAGATATATTGTGCAAATATCACCAGCGCGAGACGGGAGAGATAAAACTTACGGTGCTCTAATCCATTGTCTTTAGTTACTTTGGGGTATCGTGGTTATTGTATTGTGAAATCCAAGGGACCTGTCGTTCCAAAGTTCGAGCAAACGACACTCCGTCACCACAAGTGCATTTATGCTGATTAAGCGAAATGGTGACGTGAAATTGCATTTTAATCGAGACGCGTGTCGTCTTCCTCTTGCTAAACCGGTTTCAGAAATATTACGCGAATTAAGTGACAGCTTGGTCGCTATTGTCATTTAGCAAAAAAAAAAAAGAAAGAAAAAGAGAAAGGATGATACTCGGATTAAATTATATATAATTTATCAATATATTATATTATATTCAACAATAATATTCACGAATCGTATCTTCTCTTTCACAACTTTGACATTCTACGATTTGTAACTTGTAAAATTTGAGTGCAAAATACCGTTCGATTTATCGTTAAATCTATTACTGGCGTACGAAAAAAATTTATTAATATCGTCAACTTGCGCAAAAGTGTGAAAGATCTGTATAACCTGCAATAACAAAAATTTACGAAATATTCAAAATAGAGAGTTGTTAAGTAATTAAATATCCATTTAGCTACGCTCGTGAAAATTCACAGTCTAGGTATGTATTAAATTGTAGCTTCTCGATATTTTCATTCTCGAATTTCAATTTCGGTTAAAACTAATGTCTACCACAGTTCTGCCACAACTGCTTTCAATTTTTTTCGACAGCAATCACGAGAATTATCATATTGATTGCCAGTTGGAGAACAGATAACACGGTCTAGCGATGAAGGCCTAACCAGTGTTCCGAGCCTATTTCCCAGAAAATATTTCAACCATTACCAGAATCGTTTTAATTTTAAATAAAGTGAACGATTCCAAGGTAACAATTCTCATCTGTAAGCTGTGGTCGTTTAATTAGCATTCGTCAAGTTTACTATGAATCAATATCGATGACAGAGGCATTGTGGAATCTCGATAATTTTAGCTCACCACTAGAACTTCTAGAACTAATACCTGTTCAGCTTTCACGGATAATGTCCAGCATTTTCTTCACACAGGACAGGTTGGATAGTTTCTGAATGAACACACGTGTCACTCATCGTTTTCCATTTATAGCGGCATTCGTTAACTTTTAAACACGACAAAAGGACAGAGTATCGAGAACCGTTGCTACTTTTCCATTGAACATTACCTTATCTAGTTAATGTAAAGTGGTTATCAATGAGCATAATTAAAAATATCTTCAAAAAAAAAAAAGAAAAAAGAAAAAAGTAACAAACGATCGTAAAAACACGTACGTAGATAAGAGTTACGTGTTCTTACAATTAGAATAATTACTTGCTCGTCCGTTCAAAAAGCTGGCGCTTCGACTCTCCGTCGCTACATTTTATTAAATTCCTCGGACAGCATTTTCAAAAAAGAAACGCACGTTGCGTGCAAAGGTTGCGTAGGCGCGTGCGGCACGCGATGTAAAAGAGTTTGATTAGGGGAGTGCACGACGCTCTTTATGCTTCCAGAGTAAATATAAGTCGCGTTGGATTTCCTGATTACTCGATAAACAACTCGATGTCTCCTTGAACAGTTTGAACTAAACGTATCTCGTCAGTGTGAAGTTCACGTTACACTTTTTTTTTTTTTTATTAATTCTATTCATCTCATTCTGAATTCGCGAAAATTTCTCTCTTCACAGCGTGTTAAAGCGCACCCTTTTGCACAAAAAGTTACCGGGAAAAATTTCAGAGGCGTGAGATTAACTTCTTTCTCGATTCAAGGCTTGGGAAGGCACAAGTTTCGTTGTTACATTCTACTTAAAGTGATTTTTTTTTTTTT